CTTCTCCTCCAAGAAACCTGATGCACCAAAAGGAAGGGCGTTTTTTTTTTTCTTTTTAATTTGGAGAAGGGGGGTAAACCCCACATCTGGTTCCCATTAGCAGCTTCATGCTTGCAGAAGTAGGAATGGAGCACTTGAGCATTTGGAAATGTATTTCAGAACCAAGCGGGGTGGGAAGAGAAATAAATAAAACCAACCTTCTCAGTGGGCCGAACAAGGAATGATAACTGGCCTGCAACTCTTAGTTTGTTCTTTCCATGCACGTGCAGGTGATCCTGGATTTATAAACATTCATTTAGTGGCCGTTCAAAGTTAGGACGCCACTGAAAAAAATTGGCTTATGGGACCCGCCTTTTACGACTTTCTGATAAGATTCACTTAACAATCGTGGGACCAGATTTAACAATTGTGGTGATTCGCTTAACAATGGTGGCCAGAGAGGGGGCAAAAGGGGGAAGAATTCACCGAATTGAAAGGGAAGATCATCTGAATGCCCTACGATAATTTAGCAAAAAAACAAAAAAATGCGATTCGTTATTTCATGGTTGTAAACCAGGCCTGGTCTCAGCAACTGCTTTCTCACAGTTTTGTGGTCACATTAATCTACGTCTTTAAATGGGGAAGCTGTCAATTTCCCACGAGATGCCAGGTGTTTGGAGAGCTGTAGGAACCAAATGTTTGCCCCCCCCCCCACCAGTTCTGCCAAATAAATCTGAGAGGGCCCACCTCCTTAAGAAGGACCGTGTTCTTTGTTAAATATCCTTTGGAGCAGGGGTCTCGGCAACTTTAAACCTGGTGGACTACAACTCCCAGAATTCCTCAGACAGCTGGCTGGAGAATTCTGGGAGTTGAAGTCAACCAAGCTGCGGGATTCTGGGAGTTGAAGTCCGCCAGGCTTAAAGTTGGCAAAGTTGGAGAGCTCTGCTTTGGAGAATGGTAAGCGGTAGAAAACCCAAATGAGAGGGAACCATGAAAAAGCAATAAAAGTGAGGAAAACTTTGCTTGATGCTGGACTGAACTGGTCTTTGCAATCCATGTGTTTTACATGTCTCTGTTACAAAGAGATGGTGGAGTTTGAATTTGCTTTGGTCCTGAAGATGAATTCAGTTTGAAATTTATTAAACAATCTGCTGCTGCTGTGGTTGTTTTGTTTGAACACCCTTTTATTCTTCTCCGTTTTTCTGGAAAGTGGGTCCATTCTTAAAATCATTCTGAACCATGGTGTAAACATGCCCTCCATCCCTGGTAGGAATCCTGCTGCTTTGCAGGATCTATACCCTCTGACCTCTGATTTTGCCAGGTTGGGGCCTATGTAGATGTGCGATTCAACCGGTGTAACAACCGGTTCAGCAAGCGTACACGCAAAGGGCAGAGGCGGGTTGGCAGGACCAAATGATGACCCGGTTCACCCAAACTGGTCCAAACTGGTAGAATCCCACCCCTGTGCCTATAGGAACTGTAGTCCAAAATCATCTGGAAAGCATCAGGTTGCCTTCCTGTCTTCTTGAAATTAGATGATCTTTCCTACAAAGTCTGTGAGGTGTTATTACCCCACAATATTGATTTTCCAAACATTAAATATATGGTGTTGAAAGCCAAGTCCACCGACGAGGAGAACATTTTCTTGTAACTCTTATCATCTTCTAGATAGAAGGCTGGATATTAAAAGAAATCACCTCTTTGTCAGGGAGATAGTTCCAAACAGTTTGGCACACCCAGTGAGAAAAAATGGAGACAATTCCCCGCCCCCCACAAACCACATGTTGATATTTGAGTAACAAAGCTTGCTTGGTTCCTTCCTTCCTTCCTTCCTTCCTTCTTTCCTTCCTTCCTTCCTTCCTTCCTTCCTTCCTTCCTTCCTTCCTTCCTTCCCTCACTCTTTTTTCTTTCTCTATTTCTTTTTCTTTCCTTCCTTCACTTCCTCCATCCCTCACTTTCTCTCTTTCTTTTTCTCTCTTTCTCTTTCCTTCTTTCCTTCACTTCCTCCCTCTTTTCTCTGTCTCTGTCTCTGTCTCTGTCTCTTTCTTTCTTTCCTTCCCTCCTTCATTTCCTCCCTCCCTCTCTTTTTCTCCCTCTTTCTTTCCTTTTCTTTCTTTCTCCTTCCTTCCTTCCCTTCCTCCCTCCCTCTCTCTTTTCTCTGTCTCTCTTTCTTTTTCCTTTCTGTCTTTCTTTCTTCTTCTTCACTCTCCCTCCCTTTCCTTCCCTTCCTCCCCCCTCTCTTTTTCTCTCTCTCAAAATGGTAAACGCAGGGTCAGACAGCCAGAAGGCAGAAAGTGAGGAAGCAGCCTTTGGCAGAAGCTCAAGACAAAAGTCCTGGCAAGAAAATTTGCTCTTCAGTTGGTTGATCCATGTCAACAACATGCTAACTTGAATCCACCTAGGTTGAGAAGAAAGAGAACAGCAGGAGGCACTAAGAAAAAGCCAGGGTGCTAAAGAACTTAACATTTGTGATACATTTTGTTGTTTTCCAAGGACTTTATCCAAATTCGAGGTGAAAAAAAGATGAGAGGAAATCAAAACTGAGGCTGTGTGATCCTCCCTCTTTCCCTCTTTCTCTCTCACACACATAGTAAATATTAAATAGGTCCCATAGCAAAGAAATAAGTTCAGTCTAAATGTCTCATTAATGGAAGGTGAACTTGTGAGGGCTTTTTGGAGGTGTGAACTGGTTCACATCCATGCATGTTTCTTATTCCAGAGGGAACAATCCAATACATATCAAAGCACTGAGAAGAAAGACCTCCTCTCACGTTTCCTGAAAATCCACAACTTTTAGTGGAATTAAGTGTGGTATTGCCTATAAAAACCCTGTAGTAGATACACAGGGGTACCCATTACTCAAGGTCCATCGTGCCCACCTCTCTTTGCATCCGGTCCTTGCTAACTGACTTTTCACGAGGAGAAAAAGGCTGATTAGGCAAATCCTAATTCAACTGAGTCTCAAATTAGTGCAATCTTACCTAACAATAGAAAGTTCAGATTATTTTTATACCAGCTGCTTTCTTTCTTCTGCTATTCTTGGTTCTCCTGGTTACTTATCACTGTGTATCTGGTCAACTTACTTATCTCTCCTGGGCACAGTTTCAATTTTCTATTGTTTGAGATTTTCCCCTTGCCTGTACATACATAGGAAGGAGTATTTTTAAACCTGGTTCAAAAGAAATCTATCTAATCTTAACATATGTAAGATCGTTTAAGTTAATTCTTATGCATTCTCCCAATCATCATGACCTTTAGAACCTAATTCCAAGCCAAAACCTGGGCCCCATCTAAGAAAAATGAAACATAGATTAGAGTAAGGTTCTATCCTTAGGTAAGAAAAACCAACTATATAGGTAGAGACTAGGTGGAACTTGGCTTGATGCCAGTAACCGTGAGAGGGATTTTGGGACTCCTAGTAGACAATCACTTAAAAATGGGCCAACAGTGTGCAGCCAATGCAATCTTAGGCTGCATTAAGAGAGGGATAGAATCCAGATCAAATGAAGTTTTAGTACTTGTTTATAAAGCCTTAGTAAGACCACACTTGGAATACTGCATCTAGTTCTGGTCACCACAATACAAAAAAAGATGCTCAGACTCTGGAAAGAGTGTGGAGAAGAGCAACAAAGATGATTAGGGGACTGGAGGCTAAAACTTACGAAGAACAGTTAAGGGAATTGGGTATGTGTAGTCTAATGAAAAGAAGGACTAGGGGAGACATGATAGCAGTCTTCCAATATTTGTGGGGCTCCTACAAAGAGGAAATTGTTTCCCAAAGCACCAAAAGTCAAGACATGAAACAAGGGATGGAAACTAACCAAGGAGAGAACTCTTATTATTCTAATGTTCTAAGAAAGTTATTCACTGAATACAACAACAAAAAGAAGAGTTCAATATTCCTGAAGCGACTTTTCCCAACTCTGTGCTTGCTAACTGACTTCTTCAGCTTTGAAGTCTCTTGGATGAAAAGCTAAACATCTTCAAAGAAAAACCAGAAAGTCCCAGTTGCCTCTTGAAAAAAAGCACCTTTGGGATAACTGTAACTTGGGTGACTGAGAAGCTCCATTAGGTACCTTCCTTTGACATTAAGAAATTAAGAATAACAGGAAAACAACTATTCGTTTAGCGATCGTTCAGAGTTACAATAGCACCGAAACAGAAAGTGACCTAGGACCATTTTTCACACCTATGACCACTGCAGCATCCCCGTGATCAAAATTTGGATGCTTGGCAACTGGTTCATGTTTATGACCATTACAACATCCCGGGATCATCTGATCCTTACTTTGTAATCTTCTGACAAGCAAAACCAATGGAGAAGCCAGACTCATTTAACAACAGTTTGGCTCATTTAACAACCTCAGTGATTCACTTAAAAACTGTGGGCAAGACAGGTCGTGAAATGGGGGTCAAAACACACTCAACAGCTGGCTCGCTTAGCAACGCAAACTCTGGGCTCAATTGTGGTTGTAAGTTGAATATACATGCTCAACCTTATTTGTAGATCCCATGTTTCCCTGAAAATAAGACCCTGATTTATATATATTTTTTGCCACCAAAAAAGGCACCAGGTCTTATTTTGAGGGGATGCCATCCACTGAATAACCCCACTTGTGCACGTCACCCCCGGCTGCCATTTGGCTATCAGAGGCCTTCAGGAACTTCTTCTTCTGCAGCTGGCAAGGCTTTCCTGAAAGTCTCTGCAGTGATAACAGAGCTCTGGATCAGAAGAAGAAATGGGCTGGTAAGGCAGGTGTCAGAGTGTGCAAGGCCTGGCTACAACTGTCCACAGGTAAGTAGAAGGGCAGCTCCACCCCCGCATTCCCACCTTAACTTAATTTTTACCCGTCCACTCTGGAGTGGGTGGGATTTTAATTAGGGCTTATTTTGGGGGTAGGGCTGATATTGGGCGTACGTGTAAAAATCAAGGTAGGACTTACTTTCAGGGTAGGTTATATTTTCGGGGAAACAGGGTAACAGTGCAGGAAATAGGTCTCCCCAGATTTCATGGCCCTTACCTGTGGGCAGTCTTTGATGTAGTGTCCCTTGTTAAAGCAAAGGTGACACAGATAGTTTGGCGGAGGTCTCTTGCTTGGCTTTCTGGCGTCCGACGATAGGGAAATGTCGGAGAAATGTTCCGTAAGGGAATTCAAGCCATCCACGATGTTATTGAGAGAGCCGTAAGGAGAAGCACTCTTATACAGACTGCTGTTCAAAGCCTGGAAAAGAAAAAGATAAATCTGGTTATTTATCTGGTTACTAAGATGAGCACTTTGTCAGCGTTCCAGCGAAACTCCCAATTATCATTCTGCACTCAGGAAACAAGTTCATCCAAGTAAGAATTTATTCGAGAAGTCATATTGGCACATCTGGGACAACCCGAATCGGAGAGTTCCAGGTTTTCCCTTCCCCGAGAGAAAGTCAAAGATTCATCCCCTGCATCCACCAGTTCATCATATGACTCAATCAAACATCGTCCCAACTGGAGCCATTCCTCCAGACGCTTATCCCCAGGTGCAGGCTAACTTGTCCTTGACTTCTAAGAAGGAATGTTGTTGAATCTAATCTTCTACTCACTAAGAAAACCTCTCTCCTAAATTTCCAGGCAGTGGCTGTGGCAGCCTCGAAGCTTCCAAGTAAAATATGGCTTCCAAGGCTGACACACTTCTAAGTTGTCCTTCATTCAAACAAAAGCCACATTTCAAATGGTGACAGTTACAACCATAGGGACATGGTGCAATCAAATCAGAGGGCAGGAAAAGAAACAAGAGGTGGATAGGAGTTAAGGAGAGATCAAACTTGGAAGTAAGGAGAAACTTAGAAGGTCCACCTGGTAGAACTCAGTTAGGGCTTTCTCTATGGTGGCTCCCTTCCTTTGGAATATCAACCCCACAGAAATTAAATTGTCCTCCTTTTTTGATCCTCTTCTGCAGGCTCTGAAAATCTGATTTTGCCCCACGGACCCGGGGAGTCTAGAGTGAGATGGAGCACGTAAAGAGCCTTGTTTGGAGAAGGCGGGTTACTGTTTTTACTGCTTGTATATTGGGTTTTCATTTTTTTTGTAAGCTGCCCGGAGCCACTGAGAGTGAGCGGGCGGCCATATAAATTCAATAAACAAACGAATAAGTAAAACTTCCTGACCGGGAAAACAATTAATCAATGGGATAGCCTGCTTTCTGGAGCTGTAGGTGCTCCGTCACTGGAGGGTTTTAAGAAAAGATTGGCTAGTCATTTATCCAGAATGGTATTGCAGGGTTGGACTAGAGAACCTTGAAGCCCCTTCCAACCTTGTGAATCTTCATTCTACAATAATCAAAGGGTAGACAGAAGGATAACAGACTGATAGAATCTGTTATCAGTCCAGAAAGATAACCATTGATCGATTGGATGAAGGTAGATAGTCAAAGAGAGAGATTTTAAAATTCCACTCATGCAATTTATTTATCAGACTCCCATGAAAAATCAAATAATGAAACTAAAATTGGGGCCCTGATCCTAACAAATCTTCTGCAGGATTTCAGTAACTGAGCTGAGTTCAAGGCTCTCTTGCCCACTTCTTAGTTCTAAACAAATAATATGCATAACTGTATCAAACAATCATTGCCCATTTTATTAGAGTAGACTAGAGTACAGTAGAGTACAGTAGAATAGACGAATAGGATAGGATAGGATATAGAATAGGAATAGGAACAGGAATCGAACAGAACAGAACAGAACAGAATATGGAATAGGAATAAAAGTAGAATGGAATGGAATGGAATGGAATGGAATGGAATGGAATAGAATAGAATAGAAGAGAATAGAATAGAATAGAATAGAATAGAATAGAATAGAATAGAATAGAATATGGAATCAGAATCAGAATAGCAATAGAAATAGAAATAGAATAGAATTCTTTATTGGCCAAGTGTGACTGGACACACAAGGAATTTGTCTTCAGTGCATAAGCTCTCAGTGTACATAAAAGCTATAAGTGATAAAATCATGATCATAGTCATCATAAAAATACAATCATCATAAATCATAAGATACACTTAGTGATAGTCATAGGATACTAAATAAGCAATCAACATAAATCGTACTAGGATACTAAGTAAACAATATAACTTGTAAGATATAAGCAGCAAAGTTATAGTCATAAGGAGATAAGGAGATAGGTAAAGGAAGGATGAGAAGAAGAATAGTAATCTGGTCTTAGTAAATAGTCTGACAGTGTTGAAGGAATCAGTTGTTTATCAGAGTGATGGCATGGGGGCAAAAACTGTCCTTGTGTCTAGTTGTTCTGGTATGCAATGCCATATGGCGTCGTTTTGAGGGTAGGAGTTGAAACAAGGTACGTCCAGGATGTGAGGGGTTAAACTGGAAGTTCATGTTTCATTGCCATGATAGGTGTGTTACAATACTTCCTTGGGCTGGGGGAGGGGGGCTTGGTGGGGGGGGCTTGCTGTTAATTTAAATTTACATTATTGCACTCGGATTTAGTTGCAGGCCTCTCCCTATAGTCTATTTAGAAAGATCATTAAGGCCAATAGACAAATACAGGTAACATTTCTTTGCAAGACTGGCCTTCCTCTTCCGATGTATTGGACTTCAGGCTGAGGATTATGGGCGTCGAAGTTCACCACCCATCTGCAAGTCCCCAGGAAGAAGAATGAATTGGTGCCTTCAGGAAATGAGAAAGCAACACTATTTGGATACAAAGAGCTCTTATTTGATGCTCTTGCTCTCAACAATCCTTGTGTGCTTAAAAGTTTGATGAGAACCACTTAAAAAAAAAATGTATGCACACACATACACACACATACAACTCAAACACAAGCCAGGACATTCTTGGCACCCAAAGCTATTGAAAATAAATGACATTTTAAAACACCAGGAAAGGTCAAACACGTAAAATAAGTAATTGGTTATTTGTGGCAGGGTTAAAACAGTCTTTATTTTCTGTTCTGAATTTCACAAAAAAGAAACCATACAGAGAAGTTAGAACCACATCTGTTTTTTGTTTTGTTCCTACAGAAAACATTTAACTATTTAACTATTCCTTGTTAATTACTCCCTGGCTTTTCACACACACACACACACACACACACACACACACACACACACACACAC